AGAGACAGACAGACAGACAGACAGACCCAGAGAGGAGGGTTAGAGTAAGTTTACGGGGGAGAGAGCGATGTTTAGGGGGAGAGAGCGAAGGGATAGAGAGTACTAATTTTTCCGGTGTGGTGGCAGGCGCCTGTGATCTCAGCTACTCCTTTAGTTTAGTGTCGAGAATTGCTTTAACCTTACAGGAGGACGCTGCAATGAGCAATGATGAGGAAATTATGCTCTTCTGGGGTTTTTTGTTTTGTTTTGTTTTGTTTTTTAAATTTATTATTATTATTATTATTATTTTTGATGCAACGTTTTGCTCTTTTGCCCAGGCTGGAATGCGGTGGCTCATTCCTTTCTCAGTGCAGCCTTAACCTCCCGGGCTCAAGGAATCCTTTCCTTTCTGCGTCCCACGCAGCCGGGACTACAGGTGCCTGCTACCACTGTTCACTAATTTTATTATGTTGCTCAGGCTGTTCTCAGACTTCTGGGCTCAGCTAGAATCCTCCCTGGGTCTCCCAAAGTGTTGGGATTATAGGAGTGAGCCACTGCTCCTGGCTGTTCTTTTCAAATACATTTTTACTTTTCTTTTTTTTTCTTTTTAGATGGAGTCTTAGTGTTTCCCACACTGGAGTACAGTGATGCAGTCTTGGCTCACAGCAGGCTGGTTCAAGCTCCTGACCTCAAATGATCCTCCCACCTCGACATCCGGAAAGGTTGGTTTTACAGGTTTAATCCTCTGCACCTGGTGATTAGCTCATTTTAGATACTAGAACTTTTTAATTTAAAAAAAAAATTGTATTTTTTTGAGCTGGAGTGCAGTGGCAATGACCTTGGCTCACTGCAACCTCTGACTTCTGGGTTCAAGTCGTTCTCTGCCTCAGCCTCTCAAGTAGCTGGGACAACAGGTGCCTGCCACCAGGCCCAGCTAATTTTTGCATTTTTAGTAGAGTTGAGGTTTCACCATGTTTGCCAGTACGGTCTTGATCTCTTGACTTCGTGCTCCACCAGCCTCAGCTTCCCAAAGTGCTAGGATTACAGGTGTGAGTCACCACCCCCGGCCAAAAAAAAATTTTTTTTGAGACAGTCTTGCTCACACAGGCTGGAGTAGAGTGGCACAGGGTTTCTGCATATTCTCCTGTAGGTGGGTAGAAGGGGCTAGGACCTCAACATGACAGGAGGTCAATTTGTTTTTTTTTTTTTTATATATTTTTTTTTTTTTTGAGACAGGGTCTTATTCTCTCACCTAGGCCAGAGTGCAGTGGCAAGATCATAGCTCACTGCAGCCTCAAACTCCCAGGCTCAAGCAGTCAAGGGAGGCTAAAGCAGAAGAATCGCTTGAACCCAGGAGACGAGGTTTATGATGAGCTGAGATTGCGCCATTGCACTCCAACCTAGGCAGCAAGAGTGAAACTCCAACTCAAAAAAAAAAAGTTTTGTGGTGGAGCACAGTGACTCATGCCTATAATCCCAGTGCTTTGGGAGTCGGACATGGGAGGGTCATTGAGTCCAGGAGTTACAAACCAGCCTGGGCAACATAGCAAGACCCCATCTCTAAAAAAAAAAAAAAAATACAGAATTAGCCAGGCATGGTGGCAAACAGTGTATACCTAGCTATTCAGGAGACCCAGGCAGAAGAATTGCTTGAGATCAGGAGTTCAAATCTATAATGAGTTATGATCGCGACGTTGCACTCCAGCCTGGGTGACAAAGAAAGACCCTGTCTCTAAATAAAAAAAAAAAGAAGAAGAATAAGATTGTGTTTTGCCCTCCTTTCTCTGTAGTCAAAATGGGCAGCTCCATCACTCTTCACACTTTATGTCTCATCCTGGTCGTGCCAGGGAGGCTCCAGTTTGATCTCTGGTTGCCAGGCTAAGGTGGGAGTGGGAGGCGCAGGCACATAGGTGGCAGGCTCAGACCCTTTGATCTCTCCACGGTTGGCAGGCAGGTGTCTCGGCTCCAGCAGGTGAGTGGAGCGTGAAGCCAGTTTCTGGGCACTTCATGCTTCAAGCCTATTTGTAAGCGAACCCACTTGTGTTTGTTCCTTTCTTCTGCCCGCCTCGCTGGCAATCCTCAGCTCCATTCTTTTCCTCCCCTGATTCGCCCGATTTGGTTTAGGACTCCTTACTATTACTCTCTTTCTTTCTCCTGTTCCTTCCTGTTTTTCTCGGGTGGCAGTTTGCGGGCAGGCTGAGGCCTGTGGAACTGCGGCCGCACACTCTGGTGGGCTCTCTCCGGGTGTGGGTCAGGTGATCGCATCTCCAGGGTCCCCAGCCTTGCTGCCTGTGCGCCATTTAGAAGCAGCTGCCCTCACCACCTTGGCTGGAGCAGAGTGTTCTGGGTGGACTGTCCGTCCTCGGTTGTCAGGACCCCGGCAGTGCATTCTTCGTCCAAGGGCTCACCTTGGGCGGGGTGGTGGGTGGGGGGAGCTTCCATGAAGTCCGGGCGCGCCCGCCGCTCCCGCAGCTCCTCCGCCAGCGCCTAGCTCGCCGCCGTCCTCCTTCTACCCCGCAGGTGACCGAGCGCCCTCTGCGCCGGGGGGCTCTCGCCCTCCTACTGCCCGGTCCCATCCACGTGCGGCCCTGGGGGTCTCAGAGCGCCGCCGTCCGGCTTCCCCCACCCCACTACCCCCGCCCGGTCTCTCGCCCCGAGCTGCCCTTGCCCTCAGGCGCCGGCAGCGGCTTCTTCCTCACCAGCCCCGGTGCTCGTACACCTGCAGGAGCCAGGCGCCCCCAGGCAGCAGCGCCTCCACCTGAGCGGCCACCTGCGCGCCGCCCCCAACCCTAGAAGCCGGGCGCGCCCGAGGCTGCCTCCCCCGCCCCAACTTGGCTCGCAGGGCGCCCGCGACGCCTTTCCCAGGGGCGCTGGGCCTCAGTCGAAGTGGAGAAGGTTGGGGGTTCACGCGAGGCGCGGCCCCTCTCAGTCAGATGCAGCCGCGGTAAATCAGAAGCCCACTCCAGGAGCGGGGAAGGGGAGAGGAGGGCCCCCCACTCCGCGGTCCAGGCCTCCTCGGCGTGGACACCCACTGTTCCTCCGTATTAAATATATGTAATTGTTTCTATTTGGGTTGGATGACTGGGAAAGTATTGGATGCACAAGAATTTTTAGAATTTCAGAAAAATGTACCTTAAAGGACACGGAAAAATTGCCTCTCAAAAAAGCAGTTATATGGGGTATATAATGAGTATAAGAATGAAGTTGTTCATAAAATATAAAGGAGGAACAAGATTTGTTGGTTTTGTTTGTCTGTTTATCTCCATAGCCATTTATCCCATCTTGAATGTCATTCAACAATCTTGTTTATTAAAATTAAGTTGTCCTATTTTTTTTTTTCATTTACACCTCACAGACTTGTTTAGTTTGTTTCTAGATGAAACAAACTTGATATCTTGCTCATATTAGGTTTATTTCCCAGTACATTTGGAATCGTTTGGATCTTTCTCTACATGGGAATCCTCCAATCTTTCTCAGTAGTACAGCATTTGGGCCTAACCTCCCCCAAGAAAGGAGCAAACTCTGTTTCCTTATGTCCTCCTATTGAAAATCATTAATTCTGAGCTTTACTATAATGATGAGAAGTTTAAGAGATGGTGTTTGGGTACTGCTATCAAGTATTTATTGATTGCTTCCTTCATTAATTAGTTCCACTACAGTATCAGATGTAATGGAGACTGTTAAGTTTCATTGATGGTAACTGGGTGATCTAACTTAATTATATTATAATTAATATCCTCATTTATTTAAAACATAATACTGATTTGAACATAATCAAGCACTTAAGCTCATTGACAATAGAAATAAATTTATCTTAACAGTTGATTGCCTTATCTCAAATACTATAAATTTGGGGCATCTGATTTCTTGACGTTTGCTAAACAACCTTATTAAAATAGCATAAGACAACATATTGTTTTAGTGTATTTCTTTTTTTAGGAAACTTTGAATTTTAAAATATTTTGTTAGTTTATGTGTGTGTGTAAATAAAACACACACACACATTTAATAAATTTAAAAGATTAAGTCTCAGGTGGGAATCCTAATCATATAAGAGTTTGGGAATTAATGTTTTTGCTACTGTGTTTGCACATATGTGTGTCAATTAGTGTCTGGATGTGTTTGTGTGCAAAAAGAGAGTTTTTTATAGTATAAAGTAGCTAATTGTTTCATTTAATATCTAAACAGAAGGCCAACTTTTACTTCACACTGCCTTTTTAGAAGGTTTAGACATATGAAGTGCAGATATTCTTCTGTTGAGTAATAATATTCCAGGAGACTTTAAGACTCTACAGCACCTGGGAGGAGTAATAAAAATCAAAGGATAATAAGAGTAATGCATTGTTCCATATCCTTCAAAAGAACTTTCTGAAATTTGCTAAGTCATTTGCCATCTACATGTAAGAATGAGACAGCTATACTGATTAAGGAATTGAGTCATATTTTCCTACCACTAAATTGCAAGCATTTTTAAATAATGATGTGAAACTGGATTTCCTCAAGCCAAGTACCACCTTTAACCTGAAAGAGTAAACCCTTGACTTAGAACAATTTTAGTAGAATTTTCATTCTGCCTCTTCCTGTCTGCTACTTTCTGGATGACTGTGCTTGAACATTATTATCACAATTGTTTCCCGATCGTTTTCCTCATTTATTAGTGCTAGTTGTATCCTGAGTTACAGCAGAATGATGACTAGATGTATATTGGGTTTAGTCATGACACCTTCACTGCTCCTAGCTGGGTGGGCTAGCCTAACATTGATGAACATACTTGAATATTTAAAACATGTGCTTTATAGAATTAAATATTAAGGTTATGAATATTAACATGTTAAATGAGTATAGAAACAATTTTATCTTACCAAATTGTTTTGCTATCTCAAAAATCATAACTAAATTTTTATGGGGCATAGTGATTAAATCTGTGTCTAAAGGCAATTAATGCCCTATATCGTAGTAATGTCAAATTTTCATGGTTTTTTAATTTCACAGTGTAGAATTTTAACATTTCTCCTTACATGTGCTCATTTACTTTGGAACATAAGACATGTTACTGAAGGAGTTCTTAAAGGACAAATGCAGGCAAAAATAAATGAAATGGAATAAATATATCCTAGAATATGCAGAAAAATATTCCATTATCAATAATGTCGTGCATTTTCAAACTTTATGCTCACTCTATTCTTTTAGGTATTTATTGCTTCTTAACCTTCCCTGAAATGAGACTGAGATCAATGAAGGTATTAAATGATTTCTAAATAGCCAAAATTATGAAAGTATTTTTTGTATTCTAAGGTGAATTCTTTAATGAACTTTTTGATATTTAATACTTGGCATTGTCTTTCAAGCTACCATTACAAACACAAATGAGAATTTGTGCACTTTGGGAGGCTGAGGTGGGTGGATCACGAGGTCAGGAGTTCAAGACCAGCCTGGCCAAGATGGTGAAACCTCGTCTCTACTAAAAAATACAAAAAAAAATTAGCCAGGCCTGGTGGCACACGCCTGTAATCCCAGCTACTTTGGAGGCTGAGATAGAGAATTGCTTGAACCCAGAAGGCAGAGGTTGCAGTGAGCTGAGGTTGTGCCACTGCACTCCAGCCTCAGCGACACAGACTCTGTCTCAAAATAAGAAAAAAGAAAAAAAGAGACAATAGAGTTTTCTGCTTCCAACTGTGGTGAAATTGGTTGGTAGAGAAAACTAAATGAAAAGGCCAGACAAAACAAATATCCAGTTGATGGCATTGGAGAGACAATGAGGAAGCTATGACCCCTCCTCCTTGACACATACTGAACACTAATTTTTTTCTCTTGAATGCCAGAAGATTATTTAAATTGAATTTTCTTTCAGTGATCATCTGTTTTATATCTTAGGCTAACTGTGAGCAGATTATTACATTAGTAAATATTTTTAGGGCGTAGGCATGGTGGCTCACGCCTGTAATCCCAGCACTTGGGTGGCCGAGGCGGGCAGATCACAAGGTCAGGAGATCAAGACCATCCTGGCTAATGCAGTGAAACCCTGTCTCTACTAAAAATACAAAAATTAGCTGGGCATGGTGCCGTACACCTGTAGTCCCAGCCACTGGGGAGGCTGAGGCAGGAGAATCTCTTGAACTCTGGAGATGGAGGTTGCAGTGAGCAGAGATAGTGCCACTGCACTCCAGCCTGGGCAACAGAGTGAGGAGGAAACAAGGGGGAACTCACCACCCCAGAAAAGCCCGGTGATTTGGACTATTTGAACAGACACTGTTGAGCATCCCTCTGCATGTGCACCAGGCCCACCCGAGTGCTCTTTGTGAATCAGATCCTCTCAACCCATTGCTCAGCAGAGGCAACTGAGTCAGCGAGACAAGGGACATGCCTGAGGCCCCCCAGCTGCTAAATGGAGGAGCCAGGATTTGACCCCAGGGCCCATTCGTTTTGTGAAGGCCACACCCACAAAGTGAACCCAGGTTTCCTTTTCATCTCTCTACCACCCAGCTGCAGCCTCCTTACTGCCCTTACTTCATCCCATCATAGCACTTGCCAGTGACCTTGACAATGGAGGCCAAGTTTGGTCGACAGCAAGACTATAGAAACCTTATCTGGGAGGATGAACATTTTCACGGTGGTTGTGTGTGCAAGGCAATTAGGAGCACAGACTCCAATTGCAGACTAGCTGGGTTGGAATCCTGGCTCTACTGCTTAGAGCTGTGAAACCTTGGGTGAGGTATTTCACCACTCTGTGTTCTATTTTACTCAGTTGACAACTGTAAAATGAGAGCTTCATAGGTTGTGAGGATTAACAGAGGGCCCCACATCTCTGTGCTCTGTTACTGCTTGCCTGGCAGAATGAGGGTACCCAGTGTCAAGTCCCTATGTGGTGGCTGTGCATAGAAAGGGGCTGGTCAGGCGCAAAAAAAGCTTCCTTTTCCAAGCTTTCTAGATGACTGGGCAGCAGCAGCCCATGTGTGTGTGCGCACTTGCATGTGTGTGCACATGTACATGCACCTGTGAGCATGGTTGGATACTTAGACTCCTAGAATAAGAAGAGACCCACAGGTCCCATTTTATCCCCCTCTACTGCCACACCCAGTTCAGAAATTCCATCGCATCGTCTCTGACCTGTGTTCCCTCAAGCCTTGCTCACCTGCCTCCCATGACAAGAAGCACGTCCCCTCCAAAGGCGTCCTGTCACCTGCTGAGAAGCTATGGCTCTTTTTTTTTTTTTTGGAGACAGAGTCTCACTCTGTTGCCCAGGCTGGAGTGCAGTGGCACCATCTCGGCTCATTGCAACCTCCACCTCCCGGGTTCAAGCAATTCTCCTGCCTCGGCCTCCCGAGTAGCTCAGACTACAGGCATGCACCACCATGCCTGGCTAATTTTTTTGTATTTATTAGTAGAGATGGGGTTTCTCCATGTTAGCCAGGCTGATCTTGAACGCCTGACCTCATGATCTGCCTGCCTCGGCCTCCGAAAGTGCTGGGATTACAGGCGAGAACTAGTGCGCCTGGTGTAGTCCTGACTCTCAGAACAACTTACCAATGAAAACAGAATGGAGAATCCAGAAATAAAGTCACATACTTATAACTAACTGATCTTTGACAAAGCAAACACAAACATAAAGTAGGGAAAGGACACTCTATTCATCAAGTGGTTCTGGGATAATTGGCAAGCCACATGTAGAAGAATGAAAATGCATCCTCATCTCCCACCTTATACAAAAATCAAATCAAGATGGATCAAATACTTAAAGCTGCAACCATAAAGATTCTAGAACATAACATCAGAAAAACCGTTTTAGACATTGACTTAGGCAATGATTCCATGACCCAGAGCCCAAAAGCAAATGCAATAAAAACAAAAATAAATAGCTGGGACTTAATAAAACTAAAGGGCTTTTGCACAGCAAAAGGAACAGTCAGCAGAGTAAACAGACAACCCACAGAGTGGGAGAAAATTTTCACAATGTATACATCTCACAAAAAATATCCAGAATCTACAATGAACTCAAACAAATTATCAAGAAAAAAACAAACAATCCCATCAAAAAGTGGGGTAAGGACCTGAATAGACAATTCTCAAAACAGGATATACAAATGGCCAACAAACATATGAAAAAATGCTCAACATCAGTAATGATCAGGAAATGCAAATCAAAACCACAATGCTATGACACCTTACTCTTGCAAGAATGCCAAAATCAAAAAATCAAAAAATGATAGATGTTGGCAGGGACGCAGTGAAAAGGGAACACTTCTACACTGCTACTGGGAATGTAAACTAATACAACCATTATGGAATACAGTGTGGAGATTCCATGAAGAACTAAAAGTAAATTTACCTTTTGATGCAGCAATCTCACTACTAGGTGTCTACCCAGAGAAAAGGAAGTCATTATATGAAAAAGATACTTGCACAGACATGTTTATAGCAGCACAATTTGCAATTGCAAAAACATGGAAATAGATCAAATGGTCATTAATCAACAAGTGGATAAAGAAAATATTTTATATATATATATATATATATATATATATATATATATATATATATAAAACCCCCATGGAATACCACTCAGCCATAAAAAGGAAGGAAATAATGGCATTTGCAGAAACCTGGATGGAATTGAAAAATATTATTCTGAGTGAAAATCTCAGGAATGGAAAACCAAACATCCTTTGTTCTCACTCATATGAAGGAGGTAAGCTGTGAGTACACAAATACATAAGAATGACACATTGGACTTTGGGGATTGGGTGAAAAGGTAGGGAACAGTGAGGGAAATGACTACACATTGGGCAGTATACACTGCTTGGGTGATGGGTGCATCAAAATCTCAGCTACTCACCACTAAAGAATTTACTTATTCATGTAACCAAACACCATTTGTTCCACGAAAACCTATTGAAATAAAAAAATTAGAATTTAATAAATAAAATAAATAGCATTGTAAGTTGAAAAAAACATGAGTATTTTTGTTTTAAAAATATTAAGTATAAATTTGTAGTAATTATTCATGCAATGTATACATTTTGTTGCCTGGCCTATAAATAATTATTAGAGTTACAAGACTAGTAGAAAGTTTAGAAATTCTGCTTTCCTCTTTACTATAGTAACCTGCATACACAGTAGATGCTCAATTGATATCTATTAATGTGATTTTATTTAAAACAAAGACCGCTTCTGACATGTAATGAATAAAAAGGAATTAAAAATAAAAAAATTAATAATGTTCCATTTTTTTCTTTAAAAAAATCAAACATCTTTTAAATTAAAAGATCTGTTTTACCAGACAGAGTTCAAAAATCTGTAATTAGAAAATTCCCTCTCATTTTTTCAAAATGTATCTATTAAATACTGCTCATATTGAGTGAGTTAACCTGCAAAGAAACATTTGAAAGGGCAATCAAATAAATAATAAATTTACATATATTAATATTCATATGCTATTAATCATCATTGGTTGGTATGGTTGGTATACTACTTACAGTATAAGCAACATGAGCTAAGGCACATCAACCAGGCCAAGTGAATGTGGTACAAACAATAGTAGCACTAAAAAAAGAGAAAAAGCCGATGTGAGTCATGTGGCTCAAGGCCTGTGTCATAGAAGTGGTCAAGTAAGTAGATATTTAGATATTTAAGTGTATATTCTCTCATGATGTTGAATTTTGTGCTTATGACTGCTTACCCTGGTAAAGATGTCTGTTTATCATTGCGGTCATTATAGTTCTGGATGTCTTTTAGTATGCTTTTCATTTCACTGTTTGCTATCTGTATGTTCATCTAAAAGTGTGTTGCAAATTTGCAGTAAGGTTTTGAAATGTTTAGTTTTTGCCAACTGTACTGAATAATTTGAATAGTTTCATAAATCGTTTATTTTTATTTTTATTTATTTATTTATTTTTTTATTTTTTTGGGGACGGAGTTTCGATCTTGTTACCCAGGCTGGAGTGCAATGGCGCGATCTCAGCTCACTGCAACCTCCGCCTCCTGGGTTCAGGCAATTCTCCTGCCTCAGCCTCCTGAGTAGCTGAGATTACAGGCATGCGCCACCATGCCCAGCTAATTTTTTGTATTTTTAGTAGAGACGAGGTTTCACTGTATTGACCAGGATGGTCTCGATCTCTTGACCTCGTGATCCACCCGCCTCGGCCTCCCAAAGTGCTGGGATTACAGGCTTCAGCCACCGCACCCGGCCATAAATCGTTTAAATAAAGAGTCCTAAATTAACATATCTTCTTCCTAAAAGGAGAGGTAGTATAAATAATGTTACAAATAAAATATATGTTTTATTGTGCAATAAGTGGATATTATTTTTATGAAAGCTAGAAAGAACAATTTCAATGAAAGAATGGTATTTGAATTCAAAGTGAGTTCCCAAAAGGAGATAGCCTTGAGAGGAAAAAGAAATTTAAAAATAGGCCGGGCACGGTGGCTCAAGCCTGTAATCCCAGCACTTTGGGAGGCCGAGGCAGGTGGATCACGAGGTCAAGAGATCGAGACCATCCTGGTCAACATGGTGAAACCCCGTCTCTATTAAAAATACAAAAAATTAGCTGGGCATGGTGGCACGTGCCTGTAATCCCAGCTACTCAGGAGGCTGAGGCAGGAGAACTGCCTGAACCCAGGAGACGGAGGTTGCAGTGAGCCGAGATCGCACCATTGCACTCCAGCCTGGGTAACAAGAGCAAAACTCCGTCTCAAAAAAAAAAAAAAAAAGAAATTTAAAAATAGAATTAAAAATTGAAATAATTTACCATGATCTTGGCATTATCTAATTTTATTGTTTTAAATTCTAATATAAAAGCTAAGGTTTTAGATTTAAAAGGTTTTAGATTTAAAGGATTTTTTAAATTATATTTTCTTGAGTTAATAAATTACTTTTCTGGAAAATATTTTTTTGTGAAATAACTAATACACATTATGTTTCAAACACAGGATTATAAATTTTTTAATACCAGGTATTTCTATTTTCTTGTGGTAAAACAGTATTACATTTATTTTTCCTCCTTTTAATAAATAATTTATAAAGCATATGTGATCAAGCACAGTGATTTTATATTAGGAAATGTGAGATGCTAGCAGTTATACTTTGATAACTAAAAAATAGATTAGTGACCCTTCACACTTTTTATCTGTCCCCACTTTCTTATTCGTGCTTGTGTAGTATTGATTTTGTCACAAATTGAGTCTTGCAATATTTTAGCAGTGAGGTTTGTTAGATATATCTCAGCATATATTTTTTTAAAAGGGGTTTTGATGAAATTTACTAGCATTTAGTATTTCAAAGATTTGACCGTGAAATATTCAAGGTCAATATTTCAAATAAGTGACCTTGAAATTTTCTTCACAGTGAGGTATATGTTATGAACTATACAATCTGTCAGAGGAAAAATACCAGCAATACGTTTTGTTTGTAGTAATATGTTTCTTTATGCAGTTTCACATTTGTGTTTTTAGGATATTTTTCTAGTCATTTATGCATCTTGCAAAATATTTATTACACAGATAAAATAATAATCATTTGAGGAAAATAAAGTAACCAGGATATGAAAAATAAGATGAGGCTATGGGTAAAGTAAAGGCACAAAAAGTTTACTAGCATTATGACAGTGAATTGAAAATGTTATTTTGAGTGCCCTATTAGCATGTATGAAGAAAGAAATTCAACCAATTCCGCAATCAAAACATATACCATAAATTATTCAATCAGGCCGGGAGCAGTGGCTCACCCCTGCAATCCCAGCACTTTAGGAGGCCAAGGCAGGGGGATCACGAGGTCAGGAGTTCAGACCAGCCTTACCAACATGGTGAAATGCCATCTCTACTAAAAATACAGAAATTACAGCTACTCAGGAGACTGAGGCAGGAGAATCACTTGAACCAGGGAGGCAGAGGTTTTGATGAGCGGAGATCGCGCCATTGCACTCCAGCCTGCACAACAAGAGCAAAACTCCATCTAAAAAAAAATATACACACACACACACACACACACACACACACACACACACATTAGCCAGGTGTGTGTGTGTGTGTTCCTGTGATCCCAGCTACTCAGGAGGCTGAGGCAGGAGAATCGCTTAAACCCAGGAGGCGGAGGTTGCAATGAGCCAAGAGCACCGCTGCACTCCAGCCTGGGCAACAGAGCGAGACCGACACCCAAAAAAAAAAAAAAAAAAAAAATCATAAAAATCATTCAATCAGTGAATGCATTTTTTTAAATAAAAGAATACTTGTTCCTGGCCGGGCGCGGTGGCTCACGCCTGTAATCCCAGCACTTTGGGAGGCCGAGGCGGGTGGATCACGAGGTCAAGAGATCGAGACCATCCTGGTCAACATGGTGAAACCCCGTCTCTACTAAAAATACAAAAAAAAAAAAAAAATCAGCTGGGCATGGTGGCGCGTGCCTGTAATCCCAGCTACTCAGGAGGCTGAGGCAGGAGAATTGCCTGAACCCAGGAGGCGGAGGTTGCGGTGAGCCGAGATCGCGCCATTGCACTCCAGCCTGGGTAACAAGCAAAACTCTGTCTCAAAAAAAAAAAAAAAAAAAAAAAAAAAAAAGAAAAAAGAATACTTGTTCCTAAGAACTGAAATATATTTTGCTTACATGTCTTCATAAGGTACACATGATTTGATATCAGAAATAATTTCCTTAGCAACTCCCTTCAGTGCAAGCTGAGACATCGTGCTGCCAGTTCAGTAAAAACAGTTCTAAACAGTGCCACATCAGTGTGGCAAAAGCTTGGAGCCTTTATGAAGGACCAGCTTAATCCAAAAATAAGATCCATTACCTTTTTTAATACTTTGTATTCCTCAAATAATTTCAATATGGAAATTAGGTAAAGTAAATATTGTCAAGAATTTTAGTCAAACAGAAAGTAATTACCATAAAGCCTAATAAAATATCAAATATTAAGCAATGTTACTTCCTGATGAATCCACCGAAATGAGCTGTTGATGAAAGGTAACCACTGGGCAACGAATAAGAAGACAATTTTGCAAATGGCTGTTATCAAATAACTGGTTAAATATTAAGCAAGGCACATTCTAAATAGGAATTTGGGTTTGTATTTTGGAATACTTAATCTTTAGCTATTTATTCCATGGTAAACTAAAACAAAGTCATGTCTCTTTTTAGGCTGCTCAGGATTATCTTTACAGTGGCAGGAGGTGATGGGAAATACGCACCTGGTTAATGACAGTGACATATCACAATTAAATGAATTAAAGTTAAAAGAAAAGAGGACTAAAACACACGTTATTGTTACCTATTTGGGGTGTATTACTTAAAACACTGTTTCTTGAATTCTTACCCTGACTCCTGCGTTAGTAGTGGGGTAGGTTGTACATAATCATTGGCAATTTGTAGCTGGAGATCTCAGTTGATGGGAGTAGAACGCTAGCTGGTTGCTAACAAATTATGTGTTGACCTAAGTGTTCTTTTCCTGCAGCCTAAGCAGTTGATCTTCCTCTATAGGCTTGTTGTTGAAAGGAATAAAACCTAACTGTATTAGTCTGTTCTTACACTGCTATAAAGAACCACCTGAGACTGGGTAATTTAGGAAGAAAAGAAGTTTAATTGACTCACAGTTCTGCATGCTGTACGAAGAATGGCTGGGAGGCCTCAGGAAACTTATGATTATGGCAGAAGGTGAAGGGGCGGCAAGCACGTCTCACCATGGTGAAGCAGGAGAGAGGGTAACGGGGGAAGTGCTAAACACTTTTAAACCACCGGGTTTCACGATACTCACTCACTATCACGAGAACAGCATGGAAGAAATGCCAGGCCGGGCGCGGTGGCTCAAGCCTGTAATCCCAGCAATTTGGGAGGCCGAGGCGGGTGGATCACGAGGTCAAGAGATTGAGACCATCCTGGTCAACATGGTGAAACCCCGTCTCTACTAAAAATACAAAAACTTAGCTGGGCATGGTGGTGCGTGCCTGTAATCCCAGCTACTCAGGAGGCTGAGGCAGGAGAATTGCTCGAACCAGCAAGGTGGAGGTTGCAGTGAGATTGCACCACTATACTCCAGCTGGGCAATAGAGTGAGGCTCCATCTTAGAAAAAAAAAATTAATAATAAGGAGTTAGCACACTCCTGTAGTCCCAGCTACTCAGGAGGCTGAGGTGGTAGGGTTGCTTGGGCCAAGAAAGTTGCAGCTATAGTGAGCTATGATGGTGCCTGTGAATAGCCACTGCACTCCAGCCTGAGTGACATAGCAAGACCCTGTCTGAAAATCAAAAAGAAAAGAATAAGGAGCTCTGTAGGTGAATATGTGTGTGTGTGTGTGTGTGTGTGTGTGTGTGTGTGTGTGTGTTTTGAGACACAGTCTCACTTTGTTGCCCAGGCTTGTGTGCAATGGCCCAATCTCAACTCACTTTCCACCTCCCAAGTTCAAGTGACTCTCCTGCCTCATCCTCCTGAGTAGCTGGGATTACAGGTGCCTGCCACCATGTCCAGCTAAATTTTGTATTTTAAGTAGAGACAGGATTTCATCTTGTTGGCCAGGCTGGTCTCTAACTCTGGATCTCAAGTGATCCACCCACCTTGGCCTCCCAAAGTGCTGGGATTACAGGTGTAGGCCACCATACTGGCCTATTATTTTTGAGGCAGAGTCTTGCTCTGTCACCCAGGCTGTTGTGCAGTGGCACCATTATGGCTCACTGTAGCCTCTGCCTCCCACACTCAGACAATCCTCCAACCTCAGCCTCTCAAGTAGCTGGGACTATAGGTGCACACCACCACACCCAGCTAATTTTTAGGTTTTTTTATTGTTGTTGAGACAAGGTTTCGCCATGTTCACCAGGCTGGTCTTGAACTCCTGGGCTCACTCAGTCCTCCCACCTGGACCTCCAAAAGTACTGGGATTGCAGGCATGAGCCACCTTGCCCAGCAAAGGGTTCTTCTTTTAAAAATACACATGGTAGGGTGGGTGTGGTGGCTTATGCCTGTAATCCCAGCACTTTGGGAGTCTGAGGTGGAGGATCACCTGAGTTCAGGAGTTACAGATCGGTCTAGGCAATATAGTGAGACTTATCTCTACAAAAAAATCTAAGAATTAGTTGGGTGTAGGGGCCCATGCCTGAAGCCCCAGCTACTCCAGAGACTTAGGAGGGAGGATTGTATGTAGTGACCCGTGCCTGTAGTCCCAGCTACTCTAGAGGCTAAGGAGGGAGGATTGCTTGAGCCCAGAAGGTTGAGGTGGTGGGCATCTGAGTTGCCAGCTGCAAACTCATTGGTAACAACCCCAGCTGCTTTTCCATGAAGTTCCACTCACCCTGGAAGCTGACCAGTAATGGTGCTTAACAGGCTGCCTAGAAGAGTCTCTAGGGTGCTCTCTAGGGGTCAAGAGCTGGTATAACCTCTTAGAGGACAGGAACTTGGTAAAGGTTACTGAATGAATGAATACAACCAGACTGGCTCAGAATATAACACTCAAGTAGGTGTCTAATCTTCCCCATTGTGTAGACAGCATGATCCGCTCTGGAAGCTGGAGAAAGTACCTGGGGGCTTCAAGATTTCAGAGGTCATCAATCCAGTGGCCTTCTGATTTGAATGGTCTCCCTCCACTGTCTTTCCCCATTCTCTGCTCCATTCAGCTCACTGGGCCATTAGCGCCCCCTCCCTCTAGCAGTGATAGCCCCTTGCCCCCAGGGTCCAAGGGTGGAACAGATATTGTACTTCCAGTGATACAGACCAGGAAGGCTCAAGAGGAGATGCCATGTGGTTAAAGCATCCCATGAAAAAGGCTGGGAAATCCTGGTCCTGTTCTACTTCTATGGTGGAAAGTTTACTCCTACATTCACTGAGTGAACCGGATTGTTCCTCTCTTGCTTGTAAGAAGTCCACAGGTCTGTTCAAATTTATTCTACAAATACTTATTCAGCATTTACCATATACCAGGTACCATGCTAGGTATTAGTGATATTGCATCTACAGCTTTGGGGGTAGGAGACATTAATTAAATGCATGCACACAGATGCAATTAAACTGAGTGTTTGCTATGAGGGAAGAGCATGAGAATTTTTAGAATAGATGGCTGGAGGATCTGTTATCTATAGGTCTGGGAAGCTTCCCTGAGGAAGTGATGCTGAGCTGCCCAACCAAGGGTCAATAGAGTGAAATGAATAGAGGGGGTGATAAGGAAGAGCATGCTTGGTAGAAGGAGCTGTGAAGAAGCAAAGTCCTGAAGGCGAGGAGAGCTCGTGGTGTTTGGAGTGTGGAAAGACCTGGGTGCTGATGTGAGAGAGGGTGGGGAGGAAGGGCTCTGGACAAAGGGGGTTGCTGGACTTGGCGGGTCGGGACTGTGGTAGGGATTTAAGCTAAACGGATTTAAACAGGCTGCTAAATGGAGAATGGATTGAGGGAGGGGAAAGCATTCAGAGAGGAGGCAGAGGAGTGGTTTGGACTTGGAGAAAGGGAAGTGGATGGATCTAAGGGGCATACTGGATTTGGAATTGAAAGGACCTGATAAAGGATTGGAGGCGGAGGACTCCCAGGATTCTGGCTTGCACGCGTCTCTCTTTCACATTTACAACAAATGACCCGTTACAGTCACATCCTGTTGTGATAACCTGCTTTTTGCCAGCTAAAACTAACTCTCTCTTTCTCAGACTAAAAGCTGTTCAGGCTTTATGTTAGCTTTTTAAGCCGGACGGGCTCCATCTTAGCTTCTTCATGTTAGTTATTTTCCCACCATTAAGTATGTAACTATAACACGTAGCCGGGGCAGGATGACACTGGGCACCTCCAGGAATGCGTTTGTTGATAACAGGCCTAGTTAAGGGGTACCAGCAGAGCCTGGGAATGCAGGTGCTGTCGAGCGCCCAGAGGCTCCATTATCTGTAAGTTGTACGTCTTTCATGATGGCTTTACCCCTCGCACCTGGCACTGTTTTATTTCTCATGTACTAGTTTATCTTTTAACTTTTTGCTTACTCTGCTTTTGTGAAAAATTTGCTTCAGCTAGGTTACCCCTCCCTTTTAAAACTAGGATATAAACGACCACCTAACTCTTTCTTAGGGGCCGAGAGAATTTTGGGCGTTAGCCACCTCTCGGTCGCCGGCATAATAAAGGACTCATAATTCAATCTAGGGTGTGGCGCATTCCTTGACTCCCTCGGGTACAACACCGTCCCCAGCGTAGCCTCATTATGGTCGGGGACGTTGTCTTGTCCTCTCCGTTCTAGGTGCACAGTCAATGAATCCATCCTCGGTGCCTGAGCGGCTGCTCTCCTCCGCCCCGGGGAAGGCCTGCAGGTCCCAGGTCGCCCGCGAGGTGGCAGAGCGGAAAAACCAGCTGTAAACTTTTCCCGTGGCCTGAACCGCGCCTCCTGCCGCCGCCAACTTGGACTCCATGGGGGAATTTTTCCCACATTTCAAATTCCCAGGAAACAGCTCTTTCCACAGCCTTTGGGAGCTGCTTCAGTGGAGGGTGTGACAGGACCAGAGAACTTCTCTTGGGGGCCGCGGCCTGAACTGATTCAGTCATTTTGCAGCGAAGGCCTCTTTCTTTTCGGCTGCGACAGTTCTGCAGGAGCTTCCGTGTCGTGTGGCCGGCCTTTCGCAGGGCGCGCTTCGGAGAGGACAGGACCAGCAGGGCATCTCTCCCAGCTCAGTAGCTGCAGTCCGGGCAGCAAAGACCGAGACGGCCTAAGGGAGCCCTTCCCAGTTACGTCCCGGGGAGGTTGGGGAGAGCCCAGAGAACGCCTCACCCAGAGTCAAAAACATGGGTTTAGACCTGGGAAAGCTGGGTTAGAACATGAGAAAGAGATGGGCATGGCCAGGGAGCGAGAGACGGGTTCTAAAAGGCCAGGGGCAACAGGCTCAAAATACCCCTGCAGGATGTAGGTAAAAGACTGAGATTTACTGGCTGGGCACGGTGGCTCACGCCTGTAATCCTAGCCCTTTGGGAGGCTGAGGGGGGAGGATCACTTGAAATCAGGAGTTCGAGTACAGCCTGGCCAACATGGTGAAACCTCCTTTCTACTAAAAATACAAAAATTAGCGAGGTGTGGTGGCCGAGCACCTGTTATACCAGCTACTTGGGAGGCTGCGGTAGGAGAATCACTTGAACCTGGGAGGCACAGGTTGCAGTGAGCCGAGATCGCACCACTGCACTCCAGCTTGGGTGACAGAGTGAGATGCTCTAAAAAAAAAAAAAAAAAAAAAAAATACTGGGATTTATCAAGGAAATAACAGCTCTCTGCATGAGGAAAGTGAGGAAAGAACAAGACAAAGACTGGGGACAAATGAATAGAACAAGGACCTAGTGAGGAACACAGAAAGCTGAAGGGCACTTAAGGGGACACATTGCCATGAAAAGTGGAAATCAGAATCCAGAGCTATCTCACCTAATGTCGGTGATATGGTTTGGCTGTGTCCCCACCCAAATCTCATCTTGAATAGGTAGCTCCCATAATTCCCACATGTTGTGGGAGGGACCCGTGGGACATAAGTGAATCATGGGGGTGGGTCTTTCCCATGCTATTCTCATGATAATGACTAAGTCTCACAAGATCTGATGGTTTTATAAAGGGGGGTTTCCCTGCAGAAGCTCTCTTCTCTTGTCTGCCACCATGTGAGACCTACCTTTCATCTTCCCCCATGATTGTGAAACCTCCCCAGCCACATGGAGCTGTGAGAAAGATTAATCCTCTTTCTTCGGTAAATTGCCCTGTCTCTTTTCTTCCTCACCTCTCCACTCCTGCTTCTACTCCTACTTTCTGGCCTCTTGCTCATTAGAGAGTAGGAAGCACTAGTGGTTCCCTGTTTCAGGAACTTCAGTACACTGACCTCACGTATATCTCCCTCAACCTCTGACTCATACCAGAAGTGCCATAATTTAATTTCATAGTTGTATCTAGGTTTATGATTATATTTTAGCATAAATTACATATTTGATTAATATTATTGTTTTATTTTTTAACAAACATGTGATGAGGATCTACTTGGTGAATGTCCATCCATCATTTAATTCCATCACACATACTCTGGGAGGATAATACATTTACCTGTTATCAGTCATTTCCTCCTTAATTTTGATCCCTGGTTTCCATGTGTCACCTCTAACTGGTCTTCTGTAATAGATCCATACTTTAGTCCCCTGGTCAGGACTGCCTGATAGTACCTGTTCTCTAAGTCTATTGGCAGACATTGCCTGGCCTTGTCCTTGACCACGCCTTACCTTGTACTTCAAGTGCTCCAGCCGCCTTGCATAGCCTACAGTTGTCTGATGCATCATTCTGTATCACACAGCTGCATCTTGCTTGTTGCCTCCATTGCTTGAGATATTTCTTGACCTGTTGTGCTAGTCAGGATTCCCCAAAGAAGCAGAACGTATAGTGTGTGTGTGTATGCGTGTGTTTGTATTTATTGAGACAAGGACTTGCTCTGTCACTCAGGCTGGAGTGCAGTGGCACAGTGGTGTGATCTCGACTCACTGCAACCTCCATCTCCAAGCGATCTCCCACCTAAGCCTCCTGAGTAACTGGGACTACAGGCATGTGCCACCATGCCTGGCTACTTTTTGTTTTGTCTTTGTGGGTGGAGATGAAGTTTTGCCATTTGCCCAGATTGGTCTTGAACTCCTGGGCTCATGCAATCTACCCACCTTGGCCTCCCAAAGTGAAGTATTATAGGTGTGAGCCACTGTCCCCAGCACTGCATTTTTTTTTTAATTATAGGAATTGCCTCATGCTGTTTGCAAGCTGGGGAACCAGGAAAGCTGGTGGTGTAGTTCAATCTGAGTCCAAAGGCCTGAGAACCAATGTCCAAAGTCAGGAGAATATGGCTGTCTGAGCTCAAACAGAGAAAGCAAATTTGCCCTCTTTCCACCTGTCTGTTCTGTTGAGGACATCAAGGGATGATGGCCACCTACATGGATGAGGGCAGACTTTCTTTACTCATTCTACTGATGAGCTCATCTCTTCCGGAAACAGCCTTGCAGACACATCTGGAAACTGATAACGTTTTGTTAGTTATCTGCACATCCAATGGACACATAAAACTACCATCACAAATTCACTCCTTGTCAATTTGGCACCCATATGCATTGCATCTCCTTAAACCATACTTAATCCCCAAATAAAGACAATAACAAGATCATAATTCTGACTAACATGACATATCTATCTCATACCAATTCCTTCCCCAGAAGAGGAGATTAACCTCTTGAGTGATGTTTACTGTTCTCCAGATAAACACTATGTTGTAAAATGAACTTAAATACAGATATAAAGTCAATACATCTTATACTACATAATAAAGGAATAAGGGCCGGGCGTGGTGGCTCAAGCCTGTAATCCCAGCACTTTGGGAGGCCGAGGCGGGTGGATCACGAGGTCAAGAGATCGAGACCATCCTGGTCAACATGGTGAAACCCCGTCTCTACTAAAAATACAAAAAATTAAGCTGGGCATGGTGGCACGTGCCTTAATCCCAGCTACTCAAGAGGCTGAGGCAGGAGAATTGCCTGAACCCAGGAGGCGGAGGTTGCGGTGAGCCGAGATCGCGCCATTGCACTCCAGCCTGGGTAACAAGAGCGAAACTCCGTCTCAAAAAAATAAATAAATAAATAAATAATTAAAATAAATAAATAAATAAAGGAATAAGAGAAGAAAGAAAATGAAGATATTTGCTTAAAATATGTGTACATATAACAAACATATAACAAATTGAGGAGGTTATACTCATGTCAGTTATACTTCTCATTTCCGTAACTGGTCATGTGGTCATAGTTGGTATTGATCACTACCTTCTTCTACTACCCATTCTGTCTTCCATTTGCCTTCAGCAAGCACCTCAGCCAGTCAAGGTTTGTTAGCTGGTGGGGTGACACAAACCATCATTTCTGAAGGATCTGGGTCATTCTTAGTCCTGCCTGGATTGTACTGTTGTAGTTTTCCATCGCCCTTAATCACAGGGTGTTGTAATACTAAGAGATGCCCTAAGAGATCTCCTGTGCTCCAGACATACTCTTCCTTACCTCCATTGTTGAGTGGAGGTCCAATTTCCCCTCTGGAAGTCTCAGTCAGTCACCCCAACCAACACAGTAACTCCCTTCTTAGCCTATTGACTCAGAGGCATAAAGAGCCCAAAGAGGCTGGGTGGCAGTCTTAGCTTCCAGTTGAATGGAGCCATTGTTGTGTCTCTTAATGGAAGCATTCCTCCCTCCAGAACTAAGACCTCTGGGCCAGCAGAGCATAAAATTGCAGGAAGAGGAAGCAAAAATTTTGCTAATGGGTCACTAGGGGTAACAATCACTGGTGCCATTTCCATTTCTACCCCTTGATTCCTGGACCCTTGAATATTGGCCCTCAGAGAAACAGCACCATGCGTTGAACGCTGCTTCAGAACACATATAGCCTCCTGAATAGCCTTGCCCTGGTATCACAAGGCATTGCCACCTAGCTGGAGTGATAACTGAGACTTCAAAAGACCATTCCAGATGCTTCAAGATGGTGGAGAATGTGATAAGACCGGTGAATTCCATGAGCGCAGGTTCATTGCCATACTTCTTTTGCTGCGAACTGAGTTTCTTGATCAGAAAAAATGCTGTATAGAATACCACGATGGTAGATAAGGCATTCAGTACGTCCACAGATGGTAGTTTTGGCAACACATTGCATGCAAAGAAAATAAATCCATATCCAAAGTAAGTGTCTCTTCTAGTGAGGACAAAACACTGCCCCTTCCTTAGTAGAAGTGATCCAGTGGTAATCAATTCGTCACTAGGTAGCTGACTGACCTGTTTTCTTCTTTCTTGTCTTTTTTTTTTTTTTTTCGAAATGGGTTTCATTCCATCACTCAGGCTGGAGTAAAGTGGTGTGATTATGGCTCACTGCAACCTCTGCATCCTGGGTTCAAGCGATCCTCTCACTTCAGCCTCCCAAGTAGCTGGGACCACAGGCGTGAGCCACCGTGCCCAGCTAATTTTTTGTATATTTGGTCAGGATAGGGTTTTGCCATGTTGGCCAGGCTGGTCTCGAACTCCTGGCCTCAAGTCATCTACCTGCCTTGGCCTCCCAAAGTGCTGGGATTATAGACATGAGCCACCATGTCTAGTGTGCTTGGCCTGTTTTCACCCAGCCAATTCCTAGTCATTTGTTAGGACTCAAGTTAGTTGTCATCACCACCAAGAAGCCTTCCCTGACTACCCAGATAGGCACTTAGTATGTGCCATACTCTATGCTAGCCACTGGAGGATCCAAAGATAAATAAGTCACAGTCCAGAGCCTAGAAGTACCCCCAGTCTAGAGGAGAGGGCGGTGTGGTAAGTGCTATGATGGAGTATGCACGGGTGCATGGGAACACTGAGAAAGGGCTTCTAGCCCAGCTGGAGTGGAGAAGGGACCCAGAGGAGGTGACACATCAGTTGAATTAGGTAAGGGAGGGAACGGAGGAGTGGGGAGAATGTTCCAGACCAAGAATTCCTGCTGAGAGCAATTGTAACACATCTCGAAAGCTGCAAGTGGTTCAACATGACCTAAGCAGAAAAGGAGGAAGTGACAAGCGATAAATGCCCTCAATAAAGGTCATTTCACAAATGACCTTCCACAGGAGTCCTTGCCTCTCTCATTTATTCTGACCAATGCAAATTATCATTTAAAATAGATGTGATCCCATCTTCCCCCATTTACAGTCTTTTGGGGGCTTCCTAATGTCTTCAGGATAAAGCCCAAAGTTTTGGGTATATCTTTATCGGCAGTATGAGAATGGAAAAGTTTTGGAGCTGGATGGCGGCACTGGTTGTATGACAACATGAGTGTACTTAATGCCACTGAACGCTACACTTAAACAGGGTTGTGATTTTTAAAAACCAAAAAATGGTTATGATGGTACCTTAGTCCATTTTCCATTGCTTATAACAAAATACCCCAAACTGGGTAAATTATAAAATGAAATTTATTGCCGGGCACGGTGCCTCACGCCTGTAATCCCAGCACTTTGGGAGGCCGAGGCGGGTGGATCACGAGGTCAAGAGATCGAGACCATCCTGGTCAACATGGTGAAACCCCGTCTCTACTAAAAATACAAAAAAAATCAGCTGGGCATGGTGGCGTGTGCCTGTAATCCCAGCTACTCAGGAGGCTGAGGCAGGAGAATTGCCTGAACCCAGGAGGCGGAGGTTGCGGTCAGCCAAGATCGCGCCATTGCACTCCAGCCTGGGTAACAAGAGTGAAACTCCGTCTCAAAAAAAAAAAAAAAAAAAAAAAGAAAAATACTATCTCTTTCAAAAACAAACAAACAAAAAAACAAAAAAATGAAATTTATTTCTTACAGTTTTGGAGGCTGGGAAGTCCAAGGTTGAGGGGACGAATCTAGTGAGAGCTTTTCTGTGGGTGGGGATTCTGTGGAGTCCTCAGGCGGTGCAGAGCATCACATGGCAAGGGGGCCGAGTGTGCTAGTTCAGATCCCTCTTCCTCCTCTTTAAGCCACTCATCTCTGACCCTCTGGTTCCTGTTCCCGTTGGATCTGAACGCTGGTCTTGGTGGTTGTAAAAGGAGGCCGAGTAACACTGAAGGTGGCCTCACAGTGTTGTAGTCTGGCATATAGTTTCCACAATGGTTCAAAATCATCATCATAATAAAGCCACAGTTCCATTCCTGTGATAACCCATTAATCCATGAATACATAAATCCATTCATGAGAGCAGAGCCCCCTTGACCTCTTAAAGGCCCACCTCTCAATCCTGCCATACTGGGGATTAAACTCTCACATGAATTTTGGGGAGGACAAATATTCAAACCATAGCAGATGGTAAACTTCATATTCTGTGTATTTTACCACAATTTATTTAAAAAGCCATTAGAGCCACAGATCGTGATTTGGGAATCTTTAGACTGTAAAGGTGACAACTGAAGTCATGATCTCACCCAGAGAGAGAACAGTGGAAAATTATTCGTTGTAGGGTTCACAGAGCAAAAGGAAGATGCAAAGTGTCCTGAGACATCAGAAGGAAAACAGGCAGGAGTGGATGAAGGAGAGCTCATCTTAGGGTCAGAAGCTACTACAGACACATCCAGAATGAGAAGGACTAAGAGGAATCCTGTATTTAGCAACAGAGAGAGCATCTATGACCTAGGTAGGGGCAGCTTCAGGAATGAGGTGGGGTAGAATCCAGATTGCAATGGCATGAAGAGTGTGTGGGCTGAGGAAGTAGAAAAGGGTGACAGAGGGACAGGGAAGATGACGATAAGGACAGATACAGCTAGCTATCCTAAGCTGTTGACAAGATCACTAGCTTTGCAACTTGCCCCAGTGTCATGCTCACTCAAGCATCCTTTTGGATATATCCAGATTCCAATGCCCACATGGACATCTAGCCACCAGACAGAGTAACCACTTGAGGAATTAGCATTCTAGTTGATACATATTCTCTCACAAATTTGGTTAGCTCAAGGTTAGATCTGACAAGATCAAGCTTTTGAAAATGCAAAGTTTAAGACATTGAACTGTTTGGAGATCCCCACATGTCCACACTGCATCTCTCTCCTATGTCTTTCTTAAACTGTCCTCCCTCCCTGAAATGCCATCCCTCAGACACACACAACTTATTTTATTTTTATTTTGTTATTTTTTTTTTTTTTGGTAGAGACGGAGTCTTCCTATGTTGTCCAGGCTGGTCTTGAACTCTTGGGCTCAAGTGATCCTCCTGCCTTGGCCTCCCAAAGTACTGGGTTTACAGGCATGAGCCACTACACTTGGCCACAACTTGTTTTATTCTCACACATTCTTTGAGGCTCATAGTTTTTCTCCGGCTTCCCTCACTGAACAGCTTCTTGTTTCTGTAGCCCTTGCTGCCAGCATATGTGTAGATGTTCAGTAACTGCTTATGGAATTAGTGAATAGATGGCAAAGAAAGATGAGGTTGAAGGCCGGGTGCGGTGGCTCACGCTTGTAATCCTAGCACTTTGGGAGGCCGAGGTGGGTGGATCACCTGAGGTCAGGAGTTCAAGAAAGATGAGGTTGAAAAGTCCTAATGAATAAAAGAACAAAAAATTCATTCTTTGACGAGCAGTATTTATTGAACATTTGCCAGGCACACATCAGGTATGACTGGTGTACAAAAAGATAGGGACCCTCTCGAAGAGCGTATACATGGGAGCTCTTTTATCACACCTTGCATGGTTGAAAGGGGAATGGTAGTTATATTTGGCCTCTGTGCTTTCAAAATTATTTGTTCATACTTGAGGCTGGCACATTGTGCACAATAAATCTTTGTTGAACAGATGAATGAGCCTTTATTATAAAACTTATAATACGATTTTTTAGTTTTTATGTGTGATTTTCTCCTCCACATCATGAGCTCTTGGAAGCTAGGAACTATGCTTCACTCGTGTTTGTTAACAGAATCTAGCACAGGGCTTTGTACATAGTTAAGTGTCAAAAATGTTTACTGGCTAAAAGAATGGATTACTAATAACGTAAGAGCAATTCACACACAGCCACACATACATGTATTTTACATTCTCTTTTCCCCCTGATTTTCTGTTGTTGTTTTTTTCTTTTCTTTTCTTTTGTATAGGAAACCAGGTGAAAAATCCATTTATTGTTATTGGTTTTTAATGGGCCTGAACGTTTTTGCAGGCATCCTCCGCAGTTTGCTCTGGCTGTGGTAAACAGACTCTCATTGCGTCAATAGAGGTTCTGAAGGATCCAGGAGGAAGCACATCAGCTGGCGGGTTGGTGCACTTGGTCCTCGTAAAGCCTGTGACTATGATGACACATAGCATTTCTTTGAAAGGGCAGATGCTTGTTGATAGACAGAACAGCATTGCACCTGGAAGGTGAGAGTGTGGGAAGTTGAGCTGAGGCTGCCCAGCTGAACTCTGCTTAACTTCATTAAGTTCCCCAATGAGTATATTAAATTTACCAATATGTACACAAACAGGAGGTACACAGGAAATGTCTAGTCTAGATTTCCCCTCCTCTAGCCCTCTTATACAGCAAAAAATAAATAAATAAATAAAAAATAAAAGACCTCCTCTGCCCCTTTCCTTTCCATGTTTGTCCTGCCTGCAGGGGAAATCGGTTTGTTTAAGCAAAGATGAGGTTTTCCAGCAGAGTTAAGAGGGAAGAATAAATATTTTAAATTTTGTTCGCGTTTAGCAATGGAATGTGATTGTCAAAAAACAGAAGACACATCCTCAGAACTGCAGGGGATGTCATTTCAGAGGTTCTAGATGTTGCCACAGGGGCTGCCGTGGTGACGGTAAAACTGGTTGGATCACAGCCGAGATGACAGCCCTTCCTGCCTGCTCCTTGGCCAGCTCAGCTCACTGTGGCCTTGTCCTCTGGGAAGCAGCCTTCCAGCCTCCACACTTTCATGTTTTCCCCACCCTGGGTAGGAGCACTAATAGCTCATGATTCTTATTTTGGCGTATGTTCTTACTGTCCCTCCACTTTGATGGCTAACACCAAGCACATAGTCCAAGGTCAGCCAGCGAGAGAATGCCCTGGGTTCTTTCTTCTAGGTCTTCCAGCGTTTGGCCTCAGCTCCATAGACAGCGATGAGAAGCCTCATACTTTCATCATCTGCAGCCTGACTTCTGTTGAACCAGCCTGATTTCTTTCTTGCTTGCTTCAGGGGGTGGGGGGTTGTCCGAAAGCATGTTCTGTTTATTCCCAAGAAAACAAGCTGGCTTCCTCTCCAGCTATTTTTCTGCTCTTCATTATTTGTAAATTTCAACTCTCCAGCTACATAAATTTACAAGCTATTATTAGTAGCTATGTGGAAACTTCATATTTGAAATGTTTTCTGATAAAAGAATGGGCACATTCTTTGTTAAAAATCACTTAGCTCGTTTCTCCCTGTTCTAGCTGCTTTCCTCTTTGTTCCCCAGCTCATTGCCAGATGCAGTCTTTTCACAACTTTGCAAAACTGCTGTTTAATTTGACACAGTGTTAACAGTTACTAATTCTAGGAGGTGGGAATATAGGTTTTAGTTACGGGATTATTTAGACTTTTCTGTAATTTTTATATTTATCAGAAAAGAACAACCCCACAATAAATGGCTTTTTGTCCTCTTTCACGAGGTTCTGTTGGTGGTTCTGTCACTATCTCAGTTCCCAGGCTGTTAGCAGGACTGTGCTGTTTCCTCTGTGCACAACGAGATCTCAGCGTTCCAGGGCGGTGTTTCTCCCACCTAACAGCCAGGACTTGCCAACCATTCTTGCTGGACTTGGAAATGATTCTACAGATTAGAAAACAAAGTAAGGAGATACAGGGTCCCCAAGGACCTCTCTATTCAACTCTACCTCGAATTACTAGCTTTGTTCCAATGGCGTTGCTCCAGTTCCCACAGAGAATACAACCAGTCTCTTGAGGTGGGCTGACTCCACTAAAGCTGCTGGGGTGGTCTGGACCAAAATGCCACATAATTTGACATTTGAGGGAGTTGAAGGTACAGGATGAAGGTGTTGATTCCAGAGCTTCACGGTTTAGCTAGACTTGGATACACCCTTGTTTGCCATCTTTTAGCCAACAAACTGCATCCCTGTATGCACTTTCAGGGTCTGCATTTGCAGCAGCAGTTCTCAAGCTTGTGTGTATATCAGAATCACCCAGAGAACTTGTTAAAATGCAGATTTGTGGACCCCACCCCTAGAGTTGCTGTTTCAATAATAATGGGATGAGGCCCGAGGCTTTCTTTTTTTCTTTTTTTTTCTCTTTTTTTTTGTTTGTTTGTTTGAGATGGTGTTTCACTCTTGCTGCCCAGGCTGGAGTGCAGTGGGAGGATCTCGGTTCACCACAACCTCCGCCTCCTGGGTTCAAGCAATTCTCCTGCCTCAACCTCCTGAGTAGCTGGGATTACAGGAACCTGCCATCACGCTTGGCTAGTTTTTGTATTTTTAGTAGAGACGGGGTTTCACCATATTGGTCAGGCTGGTCTCGAACTCCTAACCTTGGTGATCCACCTGCCTCAGCCTTCCAAAGTGCTGGAATTCAAGTGTGAGCCACTGCGCCCAGCCCAGGCTTTGCATTTCTAATGAGTTTCTGGGGGACGCTGATGCTGCTGATTGGGGTCAACACTTTAAGAACCACTGATTTAGGAGATAGGACTGGTGGTTGTATCTTAACTGTGGACTGGGGTGAAAATAAAGTTCAAGAGGGGAAGAGATGTGGTGGTTTTGTACAGTTCTGTGGGTCTTTGTTTTTTGTTTTCAAAGACAAAGTGGCTGTCTGTCACCCAGGCAGGAGTGTAGTGGCTTGATCATAACTCACTGCAGCCTAGAATTCCTGGACTCAAGGGATCCTTCCGCCTCAGCCTCCTGAGTAACAACTAGTCTCAAACCCTTGGGCTCAAGCAATCCTCCCATCTCTGCCTCCCAAAGTGCTGGAATTACAGCCATGAGCCACTGTGCCTGCTGCGCCTGACCCAGTTTTGTGTTTTTACATATGCTTATAACTTAACAGTACACGATATCCATTACTCCGTGCTCTAATAGTTATGGGAGAGAAAGGCACTGTTTTGGAAGGGGCTCATCAGTGTGTATCCCAACCCAGAAGCTATATTCTCTGGTCTTATAGTGACCCTGTCCATGCCCCTGGTTGGAAATCAATTTGAAATG